TAGAGGTCACAGTCTGTGAGACAGATGACATTCAGAGCCTGGGGTGCTTCCACTGTGACAGGGGCCCAGGGAAGACTTACAGGCGTGAGGAGGCTGGTGACTTTGGAGAATGAAGTCACTTACTAGGTCTGTCTCCTTGGGGTTGAGGCGAGGATCATGCCACACTGTAATGCCGGCGGTTGTAGGCTGGGCCTGCAGACCAGTGAGTCGTGAGTTCAGTTCTCATCAAGGCACTACCTCGGTTGCAGTGGTTGCAGTTGGGCCCTGGTCAGGTGGTGCGGAAGGCAACACAATCGATGTGTCTCTCTTACATTGATATTACTTTCCCTCCCTTCCACTCTATCTGATGATAAATGGAAAAATATCCTCAGGTGAGGATTTTAAGAAAAACATAAAGGAGAAGTAACTAAGAGCCTGGCCGGTGTGGCTCAGTGGTTGAGTGTGCAGCAATGCACCAGGATGTCATGGGTTCGATTCCCGGTCAGGGCACATGCCCAGGTTGTGGGCCCGATTTTTAGGTGGGGCATGCTGGAGGCAGCCAATTGATATTCTCTCTCATCCATTTTTCTGTCTCTCTCCCTCTTCCTTCCTTTCTCTCTAAAATCAATAAAGGAGGAAGATTTTAAAGAGAAAAAGAATTAACGTCTTGGATAAGGAAAAGATTTGCAGGAGGGTAAAGAGTGGCAGGTGGTTACGCTGCAGTGAAATGCGTGAGACCACAGATGAAGGCTCTTTCCCCGAGCAGAGGGGAGCTGAATGCATTTACAAAGTGACCCAGGGTCTCTCTGAGTGTCCTCACAGGAGCAGGGCTCCGAATGCACTTGAGCTTTTTGGTTGTTAAGAACTACCTTCCCTGTCGCTTGCCACCTTCAAATCCTTTCTTACCTTGACTAGTCAATATTTAAAAGCTTTTCTCTGAGATTCTAAGACCAGGGGCCCGTTTGGTCTCTGGTGCTCTTTTTGTGGGCTTACCACCTGCTGAGGGATGTATTGGCCCAGGCAGAGCTCCATGGTGAACTTGAGGGCAGAGCCGATGGAAAAGCCATGGGCATGCTGCCCAAACCACTGACATGTCTCCACCTCTGACAGAAACATGGACCTGCCAGTCACACTCAAGGCGGCCTGCCTGCCCTCAGCAAGGTGATCCTGTTGTTGCCACAGAGGCGTCCGCTGCCTTTAAGTACAGGTGCCCCCACCTTTGTTCTGCAGGGGTGGCTGCTTTTCTAACCATGTTGTGCTTGTGGTACAATAATGACTGCTTGGAAAGCCCGATTAGGAATTTCCTGGTTAAAGATTATTGGTAGCTTCCTTTTCCTACCAGAAATTAAGTCTTACTGTGCCCTGGACATTTTGGCTCAGCAGTTACAGTGTCGGCCTGTGGACCAAAGAGTTTCAGGTTCGATTCCAGTCAAGGGCACATATGTCAGTTGTGGTGCGGTCCCCGGCTCTGATCAGGGTCGTGCAGGCGGCAACCAAGTCTATACGTCTCTCTCACATCGATGTTTCTCTTTCTGTCTCTCTCTCTCTCCCTCCCACTCTATCTGAAGATAAATGGAAAAAAATATCCTCAGGTGAGGATTTTTTTAAAAAGATGGATCAGTGTAATTTGGGACTGTTAGACTATTTTATTTAATGGGTATATTTGTCTGGCGAATTACACTGTGTGTGTACTTGTAGAGGAAAAACTACAACCTTCTGCTGTGTTTCTCTTACTCACACCACTGCCACACTCCCAACACTTCTGACACCAGCTGCGTGGGGTTTTCCACACATCAGCAGTTCTGTAACACCAATGGGGGTGTTACAGTTCACTCCAATTCTGATATGAACTGGAGCTAATTCAGTCCCATAAGACTGCCGTCATCAGTGCGCAGGTCATCCACAACTTCTGGTCTACTCAGCTGCAAACCAGAGGCTCCCAGGACCTGCTCCTTGAATTTCATCATTTGTTAGAGCAGCTCACAGAACTCAGGGAAACACATTTACCAGTTTTTTAAAGATATGATAAAGGACTCGGCCAGTGTGGCTCTGTGGTTGAGCGTCAACCCATGCACCAAGAGGTCGCCAGTTCGATTCCCGGTCAGGGCACATGCCCAGGTTGTGGGCCTGATCCCCAGTGGGGAGGGCATGTAGGAGGCGGCCAGTTGATGTTCTCTCTGATCGATGTTTCTATTTCTCTCCTTCACTCTCCCTTTCCCTCTAAAATCAATAAAGAAAAGAAAATTAAAAAAATATATATGATAAAGGGTACAGGTGAACAACAAGGTAATATACATAGGGTGAGGTCCGGCAGGGTCCTGAGCACAGGAGTTTCTATTCTCTGGAGTTGGGGTGTGTTACCTCCCACTGACCTAGAAGCTCTCTGAACACGCTGCTGTTGGAATGTCACGTAGCTTCCTCTCGTAGGCATGACCGATCATTAACTCCATTTCCAAGTTCTCCTCTCTGGAGAAGTGGGGGCAGGGCTGAAAATGCCAAGCTGAACTTTTCTCTCTGGTGCCCAGCCCCATCCAGGAGCCACCCAGGAGCCCACCCAGAGTTGCCTCATTAGAACAAAAGATGCTCCTAGTCCTCTTATCACTTAGGAACTCACAAGCGTTTAGGAGCAGAGACCAGTATATATTTATTATTTCACAGTACTCTTGGGAAGTGGGCTCTCCCCTTATAATTGGATCTTTCTAATCCAGATGCCCTCTCCTAAGATAGGCCCCCAACTCCGCTATCCAGAGGGAGTCCTGCCGGCCCCAGGATCCAGCTTTGTCCTTCATGGCACTTCCCTCATTTATCCGTCTGAATCCGGTACACTTGTTTGTTTGCTACTCATCTTGAAGTCAGGGCCCCAGTCTAAGTTCACAGCTGGATTCCCAGTAGCAATGCCATGCGGCACAGCGAAGGCAGTCAATAAATAGTTGTCAAATGGATCCATTTTAGGTGAAAACTTACCAAGTTAATGGAAAGCTACTGAAAAGCTGCCAACTGTTGACTAAAGGAGTTTGGTTTCTATAAATATTTACACTTCCACACTTGGGGAGATGCCACCGATCACAAATGCCTGTTCTTTGTAGAAGCACAGATTCAGAAACATACACTTGCCCAGCGGTGTGGCTCAGTGGCTGAGCGTCGACCCATGTACCAAGCAGTCACTGGTTCGGTTCCTGGTCAAGGCACATGCACAGGTCATGGGCCTGATCCACAGTGGGGGGCATGCAGGAGGCGGCCAAATCAATGTTCTCTCTCATTGATGTTTCTATCTCTCTCTCTCTCCCTTCCTCTGTCTAAAATCAATAAAGAAAAAAAAGTTTAAAAAAAAGAAACATACATTTTCCAGTTTTTTGGTTTTTTTTTTTATCCTCACCCGAGGACATTTTTCCATTTTTTATACAGATAGAGTGGGAGGGAGAGAGAGAAACATCGACGTGAAAGGGACACATCGAGTGGCTGCCACTGCACAACCAACCAGGGCCAGGGACAAACTGCAACCGAGGTACATGCCCTTAGCAGGAACCGAACCCAGGTCTCTCTGGACCGCAGGCAAACGCTCTAACCGCTGAGCCAAACCGGCCAGGGCCATTTTCCAGTATTTTAATGAGATGCAGTTTTCTGATGAAAAATATTGATGTATAATTCTTTTTTTTTTTTATTTTAGACAGAGAGGAAGGGAGAGGGAAAGAGGTAGAATCATCAATGAGAGAGAACATCAATCAGCTGTCTCCTGCATGCCCCCCTGGGGACCATCAGCCTGCCACCTGTGCATGTGCCCTGAGCAGGAATCGAACCAGTGGTGTAGGGGTGGACGTTCAACCACTGAGCCACACGGGCCAGACTCGACCTATAATTCTTTTTTTTTTTTACGTTTGTTTTTTATCCTCACCTGAGGACATTTTTCCATTTTTTGTTCAGACAGAGTAGGAGGGAGAGAGAGGAAGAGAGAGAAACATCGACGTGAAAGGGACACATCGAGTGGCTGCCACCCACACAACCCAACCAGGGCTGGGACAAACTGCAACCGAGGTACATGCCCTTAGCGGGAACTGAACCCGGGTCTGTCTGGACCACAGGTGGATGCTCTAACTGCTGAGCCAAACTGGCCAGGGCTTGACCTATAATTCTTACAAGGCAGTTTGTCTTTGAGCAAGTACATGCTTTAACTTGTAGTCTCTACAGGAACCCTGTCGGTACTTAGAGCATGTGATGTGGGGTTTCGGGTCTGAGCTTCATGGCCAACTTGCTGTGCAACCATGGGCTAAGATGCCTTCTCTGAGCCTCATTTTTATTACTTGAAAAATGGAAAAAATAACAGTTAAGTTTGCAATTCACTGTTCGGACATTTGGCAAATATTACTTCACGTGTGGCCACACTGAACTCTGTGGGAGATTTAAAAAAAATAAAAATAAAAGTGGCCCTGGCTGGTTTGGCTCAGCAGTTGGAGCATGGGCCTGTAGACCAGAGAGTCCCGGGTTCAGTTCCCGCTAAGGGCACGTACCTTGGTTGCAGTTTGTCCTCAGCCCTGGTTGGGGTCATGTGAGTGGCAACCATTCAATGTGTCTCTCTCACATCGATGTTTCTCTCTCTCTCTTCCTCCCTCCCCCCCATCTGAAGATAAATGCAAAAATGTCCTTGGGTGAGGATAAATAAATAATAATAATAAAAGTGACACACGGCCCTTGCCTACAAGGAATTAGTTTACTTGGCGAGAGAGTCCATAACCAGGAGGGTAGTTGGGAGAAGGCAGCAGGACTCTCCGCCGGCTGGGCCAGGCCTCCAAGGGGGCGGGGTGCTTCGCTAACTGGGTAACAAGCTGACATCCACAGTTTAGACAGAACTGGAAGTCATGTGCAGTGGTTTTGCAATAAATGTCTTCATGCTTAGCAAGCAGTTCTGAGAGAGAATAAAAATTTGTGTCGGTACATGAGCAACTCAGAGCTAATAGGTGGCATTGAGCTATGACTAAATTTAATGTTGGAAGTTCTTCCATTTTTAGGCAACTTTGAACCAGGGCAATGGCGACTGCAGTCAGCAGGGCTCCCGAGGATGCCGACCTGTGGTCCTCGCAGGATAAACTGCTGGCCCAGCCCCTGAAGGATAGCGACACCGAGGTGAGTTCATGGGGCCTTCGTGGGTGTTCTTAAACCGGAGTCTCTCGTTTACTTTCTCGTTCTGATCGTCAGCACGCGTTCTTGAGGATAGGCCTGCAGCAGCAGGAGAGTGCTGACTTCGAGAAAGCAGCTGGCCAGGCGCTAGAAGCCCATCCAGGGTGCACCCAAGTGTTTCTGGGTTTCCTCAAACGAGACTGCTATGCTGGATGCTCTGGAGGGAGGGAGAGGGTCCCTGAGGTTTGACCCTTTTCTTATAACTCAGAGTAGTACATTTAGGCATCAAGAAGCATCTTTTTTTTTAATTAATTAATTTATTTATTTATTTATTTTATCCTCACCAGAGGACATTTTTCAATATTTTGTTCAGATAGAATGGGAGAGAGAAACATCAATGTGAAAGGGACTCATCAAGTGGTTGCCACCCACACGACCAACCAGGGCCAGGGACAAACTGCAACCGAGGTACATGCCCTTAGCGGCAACCAAACCCGGTCTCTCCAGACCGCAGGCCAACACTCTAACTGCTGAGCTAAACCAGCCAGGGCAAGAAGCATCTTTTATTAGTATATTTTTATAGCAGCTTTATACATGAGATATCATTCACTTACCATACAAATCCTCTGTTTAAAGTGCACGATTCAGTGACATTTTACTGTTTTTCCCAGCCAATTTTAGGACACTTGTATCCTCCCCCAGAGAAACCTTGAACCCATTTGCACGTACCCCACAAACTTGTTCTACTTCTGTCTCTGGATTACCTGCCACCTTTTTTTTTTTTTTTTTAATCCTCATCCAAGGACATTTTTGCATTTATCTTCAGATAGAGTTGGAGGGAGAGAGGGGGAAGAGAGAGAGAAAAACATCGATGTGAGAGAGACACATCGAGTGGTTGCCACCCACACGACCCCAACCAGGGCCGGGGACAAACTACAACCGAGGTACGTGCCCTTAGCGGGAACCAAACCCAGGACTCTCCAGTCTGCAGGCCAACACTGTAACCGTTGAGCCAAACTGGCCAGGGCTACCTGCTGCCTTTTAAGGAAACTTATTTTAAGGAAGACAAGCCAGGAACCAGGGAGGGAAAACTTGGTGAAATGTAGAAATAAAGATAACAAGATGGTATAGAAGAAAAATTAGGTGAGATGCTTATTTTAAGTATGCCCTGAGTTTGGTTGTTTGGTGTATGGTCAGTATCTGAGGGCCAAGTGTGGCAGTTGCTGTCCTCTGACCAGGTTATTGCTCTTGTAAGAGCGGAACTTTGACCTCAGCGGTCCAGGTACTTAGAGTCTGTTTTATTCTCGTTAGGTTTACAATATCATCCAGAAGGAGAGTCGTCGGCAGAGGGTGGGATTAGAGCTTATCGCCTCCGAGAATTTCGCCAGCCGAGCAGTTTTGGAGGCCATCGGCTCCTGCCTAAATAACAAGTACTCTGAGGGGTACCCAGGCCAGAGGTGAGTGACTGATCGCTGGCCTGCCCCTGATGTAGGCTGGGAGGTGCTGTATGGCCTTAGAGTCCAAACCTGGGAGGTTTCTGTTCACTCCTGCAGTCAGCCGGACAGACCGGCTTCACAGCGCCCAGCAGGTGGCGGTACTGATGTGCACGGAACAGCTACATCCAGGCACTTGCACAGCCCCGGAGGCTTTTGAGAGTAACAGGCCAGTCCATGAGGGGGCTGGAGCTGCCAAGCTGCTGTCAGCCTCTCGAAAAGGTCGTGAGTCCTCTCAGCGATGCCGTGGAAGGTGGCGGTTGCTGTGTGAGTGGTGGGATCGGTTTCAGGAGCGGCTCCTGAGTGGACAGTGAATCTGTCCCACGGAAGCCACGTTCTGCATTATAAATGTCGGATTTACATAGGCAGTGCGTTCGGTCACCTCCTTCTCCCTGAGAACCGCGAGAAATTGTGTTCTTGTTGGTTTGTCTAATCTTCACCCGAGGATATTTTTTCATTTATCTTCCGATAGAGTGGGAGGGAGAAACATTGACATGAGAGAGACACATCGATTGGTTGCCTCCCGCACAACCCGACCAGGGCCGGGGACAAACCGCAACTAAGGTACGTGCCCTTGACTGGAATAAAACCCGCAACTCTTTGGTCTGCGGGCCGACGTTCTAAGCGCTGAGCCAAACTGGCCAGGCCTGGAATTGTATTTTTTTACGGTCATCACCAGGCACAGGTGCTGCTTACAGAATCTGACGTATGGTTTTTCAAATTTGTACATTTGTGTCCCAAAGGACACAGGAAAGGAAGGGTCCCCCTTGGAGCTGACCTAGCATTCTGTTCTGCGATCCCCACAGCTCTCTGTGGAAGGGCCCAAACCAGGCGAAGGGCTTGTCTTTCTGCTGTGAATGACTGACTTTCGCTTTGCACCTTGAAGAGATCCCTGGTGCCCTCACTACTGATGTCTCGTTTGGGCCTCATGGCAGCCCCCTAGGAAAAGTGGCGCTGTGTTCCACGTTGTACAGATGGGAGCGCAGGATGCACCAGAATTCAGTGACCTGTCCAGCTTGCACACTGGTAGCAGAGCTGGCACTTGAATCCAGAGTTTTGCAGTTGTAGTATGATCAAAGATATCGGTCTTTGTCCCTGGTTTCTGGAACCTGCATGCTTAAAACTCTTGAATCTGTGGTGATAGGAATGCCTTTTATTCATAATGAGCATAATTGAGTATATGGCAAAGAGGTGACCCTGGGTGGGCCCCTAGATGGCTTCAGGATGGGGGCTGGTGGCCAGAAAGACCAAGGCATGATGAGAGGGCTGAAGCCTGAGTTAGTCACCAATGACCAATGCGTTGATCTGTCGCCTCATAGTGAAACCTGTGAAAACCCAAAACAATGAGGTTTGGAGAGTTTCTCGGTTGGTAAGGACGGAGGTGGCGGAGGGTGGGTCTCCTGGACCGCATGGAGTTCCAGATCCTTTTTCTGGTCCCTTGCCCCATGTATCCGACCAGGAGTAGTAGGTGGAGTGCTTTCCTGAGTTTCATCAGCCATTTCTTGGTGAAGTGTTGAATATGAGAGGGTGTTGTGGGAATCCCAGAGTTTCAGACAGAAGTGGGAATAACCTGAGCACCCGATGATGGTGACTGGCCTCTGGAGTGAGGACGTCCTGTGGGACAGAGCCCTTGCCTGCAGGGACCAGCACTAACTCCAGGTGGTCGGGTCAGGACTGAATTGAATTGTAGGACCATTGGTCGGTGTCAGAACTGGTTGGTGTGAGGGAAAAACCCCACATATTGGACATCAGAAGTGGTGGTGTTACCGGAAAGGGGACCGGCCCGGAGCAGGTCTGCCTAAGGTCGGCCAGTAGTGTGTGGGTTCTTGACTTGGTGCAGGAAAGATTTCACAATGCGAAGCCAGGTGATTCCGAGAGGACGTTATTAAAGCTGGGGACAGTGGGCCCTGGCCGGTTTGGCTCAGCGGTTGGAGCATTGGCCTGTGGTCCAGAGAGACCCGGGTTCAGTTCCCACTAAGGGCACGTACCTCAGTTGCAGTTAGTCCCCGGCCCCTGTTGGTCGTGCAGATGGCAGCCACTCCATGTGTCCCTTTTACATAGATGTTTCTCTCTCTCTCTTTCTTCCTCTCTCTCCCTCCCACTCTGTCTGAACAAAAAATGGAAAAAAATGTCCTTGGGTGAGGATTAAATAAATAAATAAATAAATAAAATAAAATAAAGCTGGGGACAGTGGGACAAGGAAGAGCCTGGGACAGAAGGAGCAACAAGAGAGCCAGGCGGGGCTGCTCTGGCTCACTGGGGAGCCACAGAAAGGGGGGCCTTGGAGACGAGGACAGGGTCAGGGTCTGCCCAGGACGAGCATCCACTGCCCATTGCTCCCTGGTGGCAAGTGTCCTGGGGTCCCTTAGAGTTTAGGAAATGCCTGCTGGTGGGGAAGAAGAGGGAGAAGGGAAAGGTTTGGGCAAGCTTCGGGGAGGGACAGCAGGCCCTGGGTCCTTCATCTTGAGGATTCTCAAGGCTGGGAGTTTAGGGAAGGAATTAAATACAGTATTCATCAGCTTTTCCATGTACCCTTTCAGGGTCGTGGTCTCCACTGATTGGTCAGTACCAGGGCAGGGAGTCTAAAGTGCATGACCAGTGACATGCGGGAGGAGAGGCACCCCTGGGGGCAAGGTTCAGCTCCAGTTTCGCCCATTGCTCATCACCCAGAGCTAGCTGCCCGGTTACCTTCTGCATCTAGCTGTAAATTGTCCAGCCAGTGTGTTCAGCTATCTGCCTCAGTTTCCCCATTCCACTTGCCTATCCTGCCTCATTGTGAGTAAAACCTCTCCCTCGCCCTCTTTTCCTTATTGTGATAAAATATACATATTAGAAAATGTACCATTTTTAAGTGTCCAGTTCGGTGGCATTAAGTACATTCACAATATGGTGCCACCCTCACCACCATCCATTTCCGGAACTTCTCATTTTGCATAACCAGAGCTCTCTGCCTATTAAACACTAACTCTGCCAGCAAGCCCATGGAAAGACGCTCAGCATCACTAGTCATTAGGGAAATGCGAATCAAAGCCACAAGGAGCTGTTACCTTTTTCATAGGGTGGCCACTTGTGTTGGGGAGAATGTAGAGGAATTGTAATCCTCGTGCCCTCGTGCCATGTGAACCATGCAGCCACTGTGGGAACAGTACCCAGGGCCCCAGAAATTAAAAATATGGCCTGGCTGGTTTGGCTCAGCAGGTAGAGTCAGCCCATGGACTGCAGGGTCTCAGGTTTGATTCCCAGTCAAGGGCATGTACCTGGGTTGCAGGTTCAATTCCTGGGTCCTGTCGGGGTGTATGCAGGAGGCAACCAATCGATGTGTGTGTTTCTCTCTCCATCCCTCTCTCCCCCTATCCCTCCCGCCACTTCCATCCTCTCTAAAAATCAATGGAAAAATATCCTCAGGTGAGGATTAGCAAAAATAAATAAATAAAAGTATAAGTACCACATGATCCAGCAACTCCACTTCTGGGTATACGTCCCAAGAATTGAAAGCAGGACCTCAAACAGATATTTGTACACCCATGTTCGTAACAGCATTGTTCACAGTAGCCAACAGATGGCAGCAACCCAAGTGTCCACTGATGGACACATGGATAAGCAAATGTATATGCATACAGTGGAATGTCCTTCAGCCTTAAGAAAAGGAAGTCCTCGCCCTGGCCGGTTTGGCTCAGCAGTTGGAGTGTCGGCCTGTGGACGAGAGAGTCCCAGGTGCAGTTCCTGCTAGGGGCACGTACCAAAAAAAAAAGAAAAGGAAGTCCTGTCTCGTGCTCTAAGGATGCACCTTGAGGACCTTGTGCTAAATGAAATAAACTGGTCACAAAAGACAGATAGTCTCTGATTCCACTTATATGAGGTACCTAGAGTTGTCACAGTCCTAGAAATGGAAGGTGGGACGGTGGTCACTAGGGTCTGGGGGAGGGGGAATGGGGAGTTGTTGTTCTATGGGTATAGAGTTTCAATTTTAAAAGATGAAAAGTTCTAGAGATCTGTCCACGACAGTTTGAATACGTATCAATGTGAGGAACTGTGAGCTTGAAAATGGTTCAGACGGTGGCCCTGGCTGCTGGGGCTCAGCTGGGTGAACATCCTGTGCACCAAAGATGCGGGTTCGATTCCTGGTCAGGGCACATGCCCACGTTGATGACTCGATCTTTATGGGGCTGTGTATGGGCGGCAACTGATCTATGTTCCTCTCTCCCCCTCTCTCTCTCCCTTCCCTTCTCTCTAAAAAGCAATAGAAAGATATGTTTTTTTTTCCTTTATTGATTTTAGAGAGAGAGATAGAAACATGGATGAGAGAGAACATCGACTGCATGCCCCCCACAGGGGATCAGGCCCACTGAGCCACACCAGCCGGACCAAACATATTTTTTTTAATGGTTAATATGGTAAATTGTATGTTATGTGTTTACTATAATTTTTAAAATGTGTATATATTTAACTTAAAAATATTTAAAGCTTTTTGTGACCACAAGGCCTAAGTGTTAAAATTTTCTTCTGGGTTGAGTTATTACAATTATTAGTGTGTAGACTGATAAAAACCATAAATATATGACAAATTCTGATATGTAATTATTAAATGAGAAGTAAAATTTTATGAGAAATGCAAAAAATTCCCAATAACTCTCTGCCATCGCCCTCCACTCCCCCGGGTCAAGCACTGTTCCATATTCTGTCTCGATAGACGTGATTACTCCCGGGACCTTCTATAAGGGGATGTGATGGGCTTATTTCATGTAGCGCAATGCTAACCAAGTTCTCCCTGTAGCTGGTCATTTCCCCTGTGGGCAGGAGACATGTGCTCAGTGCCGTTGAGCGGGGCGCTGACGCAGGATGGGTCGTGTTAGCGTCGCACCAGAGCTCGCTCAAGCTGCCTTGGCCTCTGCCGGTGCAGCCCTGACTGAGTCCGCTGCTTTTTGCACGCAGGTATTACGGCGGCACTGAGTTTGTTGATGAGCTGGAGGTCCTCTGTCAGAAGCGAGCGCTGCAGGTCTACGGTCTGGACCCCCAGCACTGGGGGGTCAACGTCCAGCCCTATTCGGGTAATTACCAGGTCCAGATAGGCCTGGGGCCAGTCTCCTGGGGCTAATGTTCATGGACAGGAGTCCTAAGAGAAGGACGGCCCATAAACCGAGTTAAAAATAAGCCCCTTCTGGATATGTTTCTCTTTCTCCATGCTCTTGCCCCTCAAGAGTAGAGCCCTATCTCTGGCCATCCTCTGTCCCTCGCTCTCAAGGGAATTGACGCAGGGGAACCTCTGGGGCTTAAGGAATGAGTACTTGTTACCAGTGCAGAGTTCGTGTGTCCACACTTGGAAAGGCCAAAACTCAGACTTTGGAGTAAGGAAAGATTTGTTGATCAAGAAGGTGCCAATGAAGAAGATGGGGGACCTGATCTATAAATCCATCTTAAGTAGAGTTCAGGCCCCAGCAGAATTCCTCTAAAGATTAGCATGTGTACAACTGGCTATTAGCCTGAAGGCCTCGGGAACTACCCAGATTTGAACCCGGTGGAGTCAGATGGAGCATTTCACTCTGTTACAGAATGGTGACCAAGTCCGTTCTGGCCACTTCTGGGCCTGGTGGCCAAGCTTAGGGTCCTGCTGGGTGCCTCATGGGCAGAAGCAATTGTACCTCTTCTGATCTGCCTGGTCCAGGCTCCCCGGCCAACTTTGCGGTGTACACTGCCCTGGTGGAACCCCATGGGCGCATCATGGGCCTGGACCTGCCCGATGGAGGCCACCTGACCCATGGGTTCATGACAGACAAGAAGAAAATCTCTGCTACGTCCATCTTTTTTGAATCCATGCCCTATAAGGTAAGCATGCTTCTCTCCGTAGCTCTGCAATCTGTCACCTGAGAAAGCCTCCCATGTGTGGCTGCACCGATGCAAGTGAGTTTTGTTCACCTGGCACAATAGGAAGCCCCTGCCTTCACGGTTTGTCGTTTCCCTGCCCTGGGGCCTCCTCAGGCATACAGGGCCGGCTGGGGACAGGTGGGTCAGAACACACGGGCTGAGCTGAGGGGCAGGGAGACGGCTGGGGAGGCACAGGAGGTTCCGGCCACACACAGCAGGGTTGCTGGCTGCCCCAGAACTAGGGCAGGGACAGCTGGGATGACCACTCCCAGCAACCAGGTCCACCACAGCCAGACACCTGGTGCCAGCAGCTGCGCCCCAGCTCCAGAGCTAGCAGCCCTCCCATCAGTACCTAGTCAGCCCTCCTTGGCCCGGTCAGAGCCGTGCCATGTGCCCACTGTAGGACTGGCACATGCTTCTGTGGGGGCCCTTGTCATTATAAACAGTTTGGGGGAAAAATGCAGGTAAAGCTCTGGCCGGGTAGCTCTGTTGGTTAGAGCACCATCCTGATATGCCAAGGTTGCAGGTTCAGTCCCCAGTCAGGGCACATACAAGAGGCAACCAATGAAAGCATAAAGTGGAACAACAAATCAATGTTTTTTTTCTCTCTCTCTCTACCCTTATCTTTTTTTTTTCTTTTTAACTGAAAGCTTGTCTTTTTTTTTCTATTTTTTTAAATCTTCATTGATGAATGTATTACAGATGTTCCTCATTTTTTCCATATTGACCCCCTCATCCCTGCTCCTGTCCCCCTCCTGCCTTTCCCCACACTGTTGTCTGTGTTCATTGGTTATGCATATAAGTTCTTTGGTTTATTTCTTCCCACCCGCAACCCCCCTTCCCTTTGAGTTTGTCAGTCTAGCAACCAATTTGTACTTCTTAATCCCTTCACCTTTTTCACCCATTCCCCCATACCCCCTCCCATCTGGCAACCAACAAAATGTTCTCTGTATCTATGAGAATGTTTCTGTTCTGCCTGTTCATTTTGTTTGTAGATTCCATTGTCGATAGATATGTATTCATTGCTGTAGTGTTTATTCATATATTTTATCTTTTTCTTCAAAAAGACCCTTCAACATTTCACATAATAACGGTTTGGTGGTGATGAACTCCTTTAACTTTTTCTTGTCTGGGAAACTTTATATGGCCATTGATTCTAAATGACAACTTTGTAGGATAGAGTAATCTTGGTTGTAGGTTCTTGCTTTTCATCACTCTGGATATTTCTTGCCACTCCCTTCTGGCCTGCAAAGTTTCTTTTGAGAAATCAGCTGACAGCCTTATGGGAACTCCCTTGTAGGTAACTAACTGCTTTTCTCTTGCTGCTTTTAAGATTCTCTCTGCATTTTGATGTTGATGTGTCTTGGTGTGGGCCTCTTGTGGTTCATCTTGTTTGGGACTCTCTGTGCTTCCTGGACTTGTATGTCTGTTTTCTTCACCAAGTTAGGAAAGCTTTCTGCCATTATTGTTTCAAATAGGTTTTCGATTTCTTGTTCTCTCTCTTCTCTTTCTGGCACCCCCAAGATGCAAATGTTGGCACGCTTGAAGTTGTCCTAGAGGCTCCTTACACTATCCTCATTTTTTTTGAATTCTTTCTTTTTGCTGTTCTGATTGGGTGTTTTTTGCTTCCTTATATTCCAAATTGATGCTATTCTTTACCTACTCTACTATTGAATCTGTGTAAATTATTCTTTATTTCAGTTAGTGCCTCCTTCCTTTCTGACTGCTCTTTTTTTTATGCTCTTGAGGCCCTCACTAAGTTTTCTGAGGTTCTCACTAAGTTCATTGAGCATCCTTATAAGCAGTATTTTCAACTCAGCATCTGTTAGGTTGCTTATCTCCATTTCTCTTAGTTCTTTTCCTGGAGATTTTTTCTGTTCTTTCATTTGGGACTTGTTTCTTTGTCTCCTCATTTTGGCTGCCTCCCTGTGTTTGTTTCTATGTATTATTTAACAAGAAGTATTGGGATAGCTGAGACCAGATGCTGCTTGTTTGAAAGAATTTAGGAAAACCTAAGCAGGATCCAAGACAGGCCAATCCTATGGTTAAGCAAGTGGCAACAGCTTGGGTGGGCTTGAAAGTTGGGTGGGGTGGGGCCTCAGGGAATCACCAGGGCAGGGCAACCAGTGTGAGCCAGGTTGCTGGAGTCCCAGATATGGTGGCTGTCTGCCACCCCAGGGAAGGGCTCAACAAAGGAACAAAGGCCTCTGACAGCATGTTTGTCCCGGAAAAAAAAACCCTCTCCAGCCCTTGCTCCAATGCCAAACAGCTCAGTTCTTCCCCATATGTCTCTAGTGCCCCTCAAGCTGCCTCCCCTCCAAGCTTAGAGGGAGAGAGTCCGATAAGTTAGTGTGCGGGCCCTTTAAGAGGAGCTGCCTGGGGCTCCAGCCGCCTCAGCCTCCCTGAGCCTCAGTTCCCACTGTTTTTTCCAGCCAGAAGTTATGGGGACTTCTCTTCCTGGCACTGGAACCCTGTGCAGGGCACCTGGTGTGGGACGGGGACCCCTCAGTCTTCAGAGAGGACCTTCCCAGCCGAGGTGTCCTCCTGATTTTTATCCGCCACACGTGGGTGTGGGACCAGCCCGTCCGCCTCCGCCCTCCTACCAGTCTCCATGTGGCTGCTGCTTTAATTCCGTAGTTGTAGGACTTCCATTGAGCTCGATTTCAGGTGGTTTTGAATGATGGTTGTTCTGTAGTTTAGTTGTAACTTTGATGTGGTTGTGGGAGGACGTGATACCATGTTTACCTACCCTCCATCTTGACCGGAAGTCCTCTTTTTTTTTCAATCTGTATTGGTTTTAGAGAGAAAGGAAGGGAGTGGGAGAGAGAGATAGAAGCATTGATGAGAGAGAACATCGACTGGCCACCTCCTGCATGCCCCACACTGGAGATCGGGCCCACAACCTGGGCATGCACCCTGAGCGGGAATTCAGCCGGCAACCTCTTGGTGCATGGGTCAACGCTCAACCACTGAGCCACACCAGACAGACTCTCTACCTTCTTCTATAAAAATCAATAAAACTTTTTTTTTTTTTTTTTTAAAGAAAGAAAATCAAGCCATGGATCCCTCTTGGCATTCTGAAGTCACTGTTGCATGTTCTTGATTGTTTGCTGTTTTAATTTGTTGTTAGCCTTTGTCTCAGGTCTAGCAATGGCACATACGCTTTTTAATATATTTTAACTGGTTTTGGGGAGAGAGAGAGAAATGCCGATTTGTTGTTCCACTTGGTTGTGCAGTCAATGGTGCTTCTTGTATGAGCCCTAACCGGAGGTCAAACCTGCAACCTTGGTGTATTGGGATGACGCTCTAACCAACTGAGCTACCCGGCCAGGGCCATATGCTTTTTGAGTAAAGTGATGGCTCATTTCTTTTCGTGGAAAGCCTTGTTTCCAGTGACAGGTGTCCATCGGCCAGCGCTGACCTTGGAGGTGGACTTTGAAACATCGCAGCAATAACACAGTGCTCTGTCTTTACACTGGGAACACAAAAGCCGATTCCTACGGTTTCTTTCACCGTGAAAAGCATGGTGGCAGAGTAATCAGTGATTTCTTTTTCACCCCTAGATAAGGCCTTGGGGAGGGCCTCGTGGTTTTTAGCCCAATGTCTGCTGTTACGGAAGCCTTCCTGGCATTAACAAGTCGGGGCTGTACCCCAGTTACCCCCACAGCCACCCCATCTTTGACATGCACTGAGCAGGCTGCAGTCCTCTGGACACAATGCGGAGACCCACCCAGTGGCGTGGCTGGGACTGGGACCCTGACCAGCTCACCTCCAGAAGGGCTCCCGTGGGCACTGGCCTTGGTGGGCAGGCAGTATAGGCTACAACCTCGATTGGCCTCCAGCATCAACCACTACCCATCAGGTTGCCTTCCTGCCCCGCATTTTAGTCCCCTGCCCTCAGTGGGACCTTCTTTCACCCTCTGGGCCACCACCCGACACCAGGCCAGGCTTTCCGTCCTCCTGGAGAGACAGCACCATACACCTGGCACTCTCCCCTCTCTGTGACCGAGGGATCACCTCCTGCCGGCCCAGTGCTCTGAGGGGCAGGTCCTTCCTTCCTGTCCCAGCCTCTGCACCCTCTGGGCCCAGCAGTTTGTTACAACTCTGCAGCCTGTGTATGCTTCCAGGGGCTGTTTTATTGTCGGCTTTTTAAGATTTAAAAAAATATACCACAAGTTGCAAAAGCAAAATGTGGAAGGAGGGAAAAGCAAGGTTTTGGGGGTAATTATGTCTTCTAAAATTTTTTAGAATGGCCTTTTTTTTTTTTTACTGTGAATCAGCCATTGATTTTTTGTTATCAAGGTAACAGTTTCTTTGCTGAGTTAGGTGCCTGAAAAAGAATCAGCTACACCCTTAAAACAAAACCACAAGTCACTGTTCAGCCTGCCTTCCCAGATGATTTCTTGGTTCCTGTAACCTTGCATACAAGCTTCTGTAGTTGAGAGAGAGAAAACGAATGGTTGCCTCCCGAATGCCCCCCGACCAGTGCTGGGGATCGAACTGGCAACTCTTCAGTCCTCAGGCCAGTGCTGTCTCTAATTGCTGAGCCAAAGTGGCCAGGGCACATTTTTAGTTTGGAAAGGGTGACCACCTAGCCCCACCTCCTTGCCTCCATGGGGGGCTCTCACCACTTCCTCCCTAGAGGACTTCCATGCCCCCACCCCTAAGTCTTTCCTACAGTAACCCCCTTGATTGTTATTTTTTAGTATGTTTTTCTTGATTTCAGAGAGAGGAAGGGAGAGAGAGAGAAACATGGATCAGCTACCTCCTGCACACCCCCTGCTGGGGGTCGAGCCCACAGCCTGGGGACATGCCCTGACCAGTAATCACAACGAGACCCGGTGCCTGGGAGATGCTCAACCACAAAGCCACACCCTGTGGTGGTTTTTACTTCCCCCTGGCATACTGCTTCAGCGTAACTTTAATAAGCTGAACTCAGTGAGAAATGTGTTGCCAAAAAAGAAATAGAGTCATTTACCTTTCATGGTAGGTAGATCCACAGTCCGTCTGGATTGATTTCTGTGTGGCTGAGGTAGGGGTCCAGATAACAGTTTTTTTTCTTTTTTTATTTTATATATATATATATATATATATATATATATATATATATTTTTTTTTTATCCTCACCCGAGAACATTTTTCCATTTTTTTGTTCAGATAGAACGGGAGGGAGAGAGAAACATCAACGTGAAAGGGACACATCGAGTGGCTGCCTCCCACATGACCCCAACCAGAGCTGGGGACGAACTACAACCAAGGTATGTGCCCTTGACCAGAATCAAACCCACGACTCTTTGGACTGCAGGCCGATGCTCTAACAGCTGAGCCAAACCGGCCAGGGCCAGGTTATGTTTTTCCACATGGATATCCAGTTAACCCAGTGCCATCTCCTGGAAGACCATGCTGTTCCTGCAGTCCCCCTGGCACCGGCCACACAGCCATCTGTCACCACGGGTCCTTTTTCTTAGCTCTCGTCTGTTTGTTTGTCAGATTGTTATTCCACAGGCACACACAGCCTTAAACTGTCGCTTTTTTAAAGTGGTTTTAAATTTTTCTCAATAATGTTTTGTGTAGAGGTCTCGTACATCTTTTGTTAGATAGTTTATGGCTTTTTCAACTAATGATATAATTATTAAAATTTCATTTTCTGTTTTCTGCTGCTTATATATATGAATATAATTGATTTTTGGTTTTCATCCCTATATCCGGTGACCTCGCTAAATTCAGTTACTAATTCTAATAGCTTGCTTCTAGAGTCTTGGGTTTTCTAGGTATACAATCATGGTGTCTGTGAGTCAAGTCAGCTCTTGTAGGTTTTCTAATCCTTATGTCTTTACTTCTTTTTCTGGCCTCACTGATCACGGACTGAAAGTGCTGTTGGCCGGCCCCAGGTCGCACTTCTGAAAGGGACTGGCTTGGTGCCTGCGTGGTGCAGTGCTTGTGTGTCTATCGCCCAGTTTCACTCTGCAGTGCGTCTTGGTTCCTTCTCACCCCAGGAGAACCCTGGGGCAGGGGCTCACTTTCCCCGTGCCCCTGCAACCCCTGTGAGTGGTGCTTGGTTGTCTACACTACCTGTGCACGAAAAATACTTTTACCCAGCCTCACCCTCAAGGCCGACCCTGGGACATCTTTCCCGCTCTCTGGCGGATGGAACAGACAGCTTTGGGCAGGTGGAAGAAGGCCTCCTGTCCTTGACACCTGGTGCAAGTTCAGGTGGGAGGGCCAGCTGGAGGGGATCCCGCTCCTGCTGTATTCATGACATCCCACAGGTGAACCCCGACACTGGCTACATCAACTATGACCAACTGGAGGAAAATGCCCGCCTCTTCCACCCGAAGCTGATTATTGCAGGTGATGAAATGAGCAGAATGCAACTCGATGAGTGACGAGTCCCAGGCCTCTTACAAGTGAAGATGTGACGATGTTCCCACCCTGTCCTTGCTCACTGCTTGTTTCTGCCTTGGGTAGCTGAGCTGCTTGGGTCCAAGAATATTCTTTTCTTCCAGGACAGATGTCCATTTTGCCACCATTAGCACATGGTGCAATACGATCTGAGGCTGTTCTCAGAGAAGCATCTGGAAGTGTTAATCCCTGACTCATTGGGGGTGGTGATGATAATTGGGGGCCATCCCTACCACCATGACATTGAAGAGGCAGAGATCAGAGTGGTTGCCTTTGACACGGATGTTTTTCAAGAACACCCTTCAATCCTGTTCTCAGATTTGAGAGGGAGAAATCTCCCAGCTTTCAAATGGTACATCCAGAGGCCACCTTGCAGCCAGCTCGAGTGGCTGTGGATGTCTCTGACCATGGTGTCACTTTGCCACCTTAGGAACCAGCTGCTACTCCCGAAACCTGGACTACGCTCGCCTACGAAAGATCGCCGACGACAACGAGGCATATCTCATGGCTGACATGGCACACATCAGCGGGCTGGTGGCAGCTGGCGTGGTGCCCTCTCCCTTCGAACACTGCCATGTGGTGACCACCACCACTCACAAAACGCTGAGAGGCTGCCGAGCCGGCATGATCTTCTTCAGGCGAGGTGTGTTCCTGAGCCTGGGTGCCAGGGTGCAGGTGGGGTGCCGGAGGGCCTTTCTCCTCTGGGTGTTCACATTAGGGTTAGGAAGCTGAGGGAAACTCTGACCTGGGGTCCCTTGAAGATATTAGGATCTCTGGAAGAGCTCCTTCAGAGGGGGTAACAACAGGCCATATGGAAGGGGTCTCAAAAAGCCCTGAGCACAGCTGTCCAGGTCCTGGCAGGAAGGAAGGGTATTGTGCTGGGTGCCAGCATCCTTTGGCTCAGTCAGTCCTTATGAGGCAGGCGTTGGCATGAAAGGAAGATGAGCGTGGCTGGCCAGGGGCTACCAGGAGGCCTCACGGAACAGAACTGTTTTAGTGAACTTACTGTAATTCACCATGTTCCTCCTGGAGAGACTCCAGTTGTCAAACCATAAGGCATTGTGTATACATCATAGCACCAGTTTTACCCTGTTAGTAAGGAACCTCTCTTTCCAGTAATGGAGTACTTACAGCCCACGAGTATGTAGATCCTCCCCTTATTTTGGGATTCTTATACCTGAGAAAGCCAGAGTGACAATCAGGCCATCATTGAGCCTGTGGTGGGACCTGGTACATGAACCTGGCATCAGCAGAGAGAACAGCCTCTGGAGACCAGATCTCTCTTGATCCACAGATCAGGAGCTCCTTGCCCAGCCCTAGCCTGGGACACACCCATGTACCCACTGGAAGCCTCTATGCTCTGAGGTCCTCCAGTTGTGTTGAGGTTCCTAAGGCAGGTAGCCATTCCCTCTTCCCTGGGAGATGTTTGTTTTTCCCACTGTATGTTGTAAGTTGTTTGATCAGGCCAGCCAGAGCAAATCCTGGTTGTGCCCCATACTCACTGTGATCTTAGGCTAGTTGTGCCACCTCTTTGGGCCTCATTTCCTCACCTCCAGAGTAGGGATCAAAATAATAGTACCAGTTCCTTTGGACTGCAGTTGTGAGGATAAAATGAATTTAGGTAAAGTGCTTAGAGCAGTTCTGGCTCACAAGAAGCTCTATGGAGACATTAGTAGTTTTTATTACTGATTATTAACTTTTTCTCTGAAAGGAACCTTTTCCTGGTATCTAGCCACATGATTCTTGTCTCCCTCAAAGTAGTCATCTTGGAATACTGCTCTTGAACACGTCTTTGAGGAAATATGCCCAAGGCATAGTGTTTATTGTGGTCTCTTTGGAGGGAAATTTTCATCCTTTCATTTCGTCTGCGAAAGGGTGGTCTGCCCACCTTTGGAAGCAAGCGCCCTATCTGCCCTGCAGCATTTCATACCAAAGTCTCCCCCAGGAGTAGAGGCCAGGCTTGTGCTTCGCCAAGCACTCGGGTTTGAGTCCAGGCAGGGAGAAAACCGAGGTGACAGCCTGTCTGTTATTCCCATTCTGATGTTTTCGTCCAGGAGTGCGCAGCACGGATCCCAAAACCAGCAAAGAGGTTCTGTACAACCTGGAGTCGCTCATCAACTCTGCTGTGTTCCCAGGACTGCAGGGAGGGCCTCACAACCATGCCATTGCTGGTAAACATGACAAAACCCAACCCCGAGCCCTGGGAGCTATCCCTTCACCCACGGCAGCCCCTGTGCAGTCAGTGTGAGGGTTCTCCCACTTGGTCATCTCGTGGCCCGCAACCCCCATCTCACCCGTCCATCGATTTGTGCCAGGACTTCCCCGCTGGGAGAAATTAGAGAAATATCTATCTAGGAGATGCTAATAAGGAAGCCAAGGGAAACGTGACTGGTGTGAGGCAGGGACATGTGTGGCCACCCCTTGGCAAAACTGAGAGGCCCGCCCTTCGCATAGCCCTCTTTACGGAACAACGGGGGGAATTTGACCACTGGAAGAAGGCATAACAAGGAGAGTGCGATTAGCAAGGACAAGATGCCTGTCCTCTGACCACCTGATCTCCTGTGGCATAGGGCACCTGTGTCTGGCCTTGGGGCTGTGCCAGTAGCTCCTGGGTCAGATTCCATGACCCTAGCAAACAGTCATCCACTAACTGCTTCTCTGCACAAGTGGCTGAGAGCATCTGTGATGATCTCAGCTATTCCACTGCCTTCTTTGGAGCAAAACAGTTGCTAGAAGAGCCCAGGACAAAGGTGTAACTCTCCATCCCAAGAAGCACTCCCCAGAGGGGAGAGGAGGCACCAGACGGTGGGGCGTCTACCAGAGCATTTTCATGTCCCCTTCTGTACCTGCAAGCTCAGCATCTAGGTTTCTTCAGCCCTCAGAGGAAGATGTCACCCCACCTCCAGTTGCTCTGGGCCTTTTGCGGTCATTTCTGCCCACTGATCGGCGGCCCCTGGCGGGACTCGGGCACATGCATTTGGCTTTCTCCTCCTTTGCTGTGCCCTGCAAGCAGCCCTCTGGATCGAACACAAGACACCAGATAAGGCCGGTTTGCAGGTAGAGCAGGCCTGCGTTCTCACCTGGACTCTCTGAAAGGTCCTCATATTTCAGCATCAAAGTAGCAGCTTTTAGGGCAGCTAACCAAGTGTTTCACATTCCAAGGTTAGAGAAGACTGGAGCTCGCCCGGCTGTGTGGCTCAGTGGATTAAGCATCTTCCCAGGAGGTCGCCAGTTGATTCCCAGTCAGGCACATGCCCAGGTTACAGGCCTGACCCCTGTGGGCTGTGCTCGAGGCAGGGGATCAATGTTTGGCTCTCCCTCCCTTCCTCTCTGAAATCAATGAAAACATGTTTTTTGTTTAAAAGGACTGAAGGTTTAGCCAGATAGTTGTAGGTTAGAAATATATATCATTTGGGGGGAGTATGATCCACCCCTTTCTGTGACTCCGAAAAGCAAGGAGGCCTGGGTGGAAGCCAGGGTTTATGACTCAGTCTGTCTTCTGACCCTGCTCTTGCTGCCCCCGCCTCTTCCCACCAGGGATCGCTGTGGCTCTGAAGCAAGCCCTGACTCCGGAATTCAGACTGTATCAGCGCCAGGTGGTGGCCAACTGCAGGGCTCTGGCTCAGACCCTCATGGAGCTGGGCTACAAAATCGTAACAGGTATCACCCAGAACCGAGGCATCACCCACTGACCTGGGCCGTGCTGCTCCTTAGGGTCGCACAGAGCCTCACGCCGCGGCTCATCCCGTCAGGCTATGGCCGTAGGGTAGTGGCCCTGGCATGGTGGCTACAGCTGGGGTATGAGTTGGGGCCACCTCCAGAGGATCTGGTGTGCCCCTGTGGCCTTCCCCTTCCTTACACGGTGACAGCTGCCTCCCTGGCTGGGCGAGATACTGGTAATAGTAGCTGCCATTTGTCATCTGGCAGGTGAGGCCTCAAGTCCCCAGAACAGCTTTCTGAAAAAGGTACCTGAGGCTCCCCTGAGAAGTTAGGTACAGTGGTCACACAGTTGGTGGGTGGCAGTGCAGGACGTGAGAAGAGGGCAGGACCCCAGGACCTTCTCCACAGCCACGCCTTGCACTGGCCTGCAGGACTGGCCACTCACCCTGCAGCCACGGTGCACAGACCACCCCGCCGGAGGTCATGGCACTTGCTGGGTCCGCGTTGGCTTTAATACAAAGATTGTGGGTGGCGTTGAGCAACCCTGGGTGAGCTGGATTCTCCAGGTGAGGGCCTCGCTCGGGTGCACCCCCCAGTCACGTCAGGCTTACACAGATGGCAGCCTGTTCCTGGCAGGCAGTGGCTCGGGTAGCTTGAGGAAGGGCAGTGTTAACTCTGCTTGCAGGCTGCGGTGTGCTAGCAGTGGGTGGTCCGGGGAGGCAGGTCCTGGGCCCCTTAGAGGCAGGTGCCTACCCGCTGCCTGCTGCCCTTTGCAGGGCTCCAGGCCCCAGCCTGAGGAGCAGGCTCCCCACCAAACCTTGAGTGACCACGCCGGGGCAGACGCCATCTCGGCCGTCTTCTCGAGAAGCACCTCTTCTCTGTCCCTCACTTCCTTTCTTAGCTTTCTCCTTCATTCTCCACGTCTCCATGAGAAAGCCCCAGGAATCTCAGTCTGGACTGGGGCCTTCAAGGTCTTTTAGGTCACTCTCAGACTTGGTTGTGCTGTGTTCATGCAGCCTGGGTGGGGCCTGTCACCAACTCTCAGGCGGTGTTGGTCTGAGACCCCAGACTCCATCCGGATGGGCACCCATGGCAGGCCTGCTGCTCGAAGCCTCCTGAGCCCCCCATCTGCCTGTGCTCCCCTCGGTCCCTCCGCCCCAAAGACTGGTGCAGGCAGCGGAGCAGGTCGTGGTGACTGGAAACGCAGCCAGCCCTTCCGCTACGCCTCGTGCCGGCCCTGGCCCAGCACTGCACACAGCCCGTACTCCACCCTCACGACAGCCCTGTACTGTGGGTCTACTCACAATGGGTGTCTGACTGAAGCCACACGGCCAGCGAGTGGGGGCAGCGGGTCCGGAGCTGAGTGGTGACTTCCTTCACCTGAGTCTGCGCCGTCACTGCGGCTGCCCAAGTCCGGGACGGCGTGACTGGGAGTTTGGAGGGAAGAGACCCAGGGAGTGCATCTCGAAGGTTCTGAGCAGCCTTGGGCCAGTCCCAGAGTGTCCCTGTGGCCCCGATGTCTTCACCGGCACCACCCTGACACTATCACCCTCAGGATTAGGGGGAACATCTCTGACAGGCCGGCAGTGTCTGGTGTCCAGCATGTGCTCAGTGAAGGTCATGGTTGCCCGCTCCTGCCACACGGGGATCGCCACCTGCTGCTCAGAGGAGCCCTGAAGATTGGTCTCAGCTGTGAGAACTGCCCAGTGACTTAGAGACAACAGAAGCCGTGGATGGCACCGAGCCAGCTGTCACTCCCCAGACACACTCTCAGGCCCTTTCCCGGCACCTGCTGTGTGGGGTGGTTGTAGTGGGCAGTCCGGTCACTGTCCCCTCGGCCTCACAGCCCCTCTGCATCATCAGGCTTCTTTTTGACACTACTTCGCCCTCTCTGTCCGACGATTGGGTCCTGGAGCATCTTCTGACAGGCAGGGAAAAGCCTTCCAGGACCACCGTGGCCACTCACCTTCCCAACCGTCGGCCGTGGCCCCTCCTCCCCAACCCATTTCTCAGGGAGAGGAATCCCCCCCTTGGTGTGGAGTTCCCATGCGCATTCCTACGTGTCCAACTTGGTTTCCAGGTGGTTCTGACAACCATTTGATCCTCGTGGATCTCCGTTCCAAAGGCACGGATGGCGGCAGGGCTGAGAAGGTGCTAGAAGCCTGTTCTATCGCCTGCAACAAGAACACCTGCCCAGGTGAGGATCCTCCTTGGTCCCTTCCACACCTCTCCTGTCTGCACTGTGGGCAGTGACAGGATGGTAGCTGGCTCTGTGAGGGGAGACGGCAGGCTGGGTGGGAGCTGCGCTGTGCCTGTAACCCTGCCAGGGTGGGACCGCGGCAGTGCTCAGGGGCGAGGAGGCTGCAAAGGGCTGGACTTCTCAGTGGGCTGTGAACAAGGTATGAGTGGCACAATCCAAACCCAGACAGAGGCCAGCCTCGCTCTTAGGAGCCGAGGCAAGTGAGCGCGTGATGTCCTTCCTGTTTGAAGGACAGCAGGCAGGGTGCATCGCTGCCTGTACCCACTGCCGCCTCACGTGGCCCGCTGTGCCTGCACCAGACTGGCACCTGTGGGCCTGCCCTTCCTGCCCAAGGGTCTGTCTGCAGGGCAGTGGTCAGTGGGGAGTCTGGGCCACCCAGGCATGGCACCTGTTTATGTTGAAGGTGACAGAAGCGCACTGCGGCCCAGTGGGTTGCGACTGGGGACCCCAGCTCTGACGTCCCGAGGACTTCGGGAAGAAGAGTTTCAAAAAGTAGCCCATTTCATTCACAAAGGTAAGGACATCAGTTTGGAAGTCTGCCACATCATGTTGTGTGTATGGAGTCTGAGCAGTTGAGACCCAGCCACTGGAGGACATTTCTGTGTCAAGACTGAGTGCAGGGGACAGGAGACGGCAGAAAGCACTTAGCAAACCATCTGGTCTGAAATGTGTGTAAATTTGCCCTGCCCAAGGGAGGGTGCACACAAGAATCATTTCTGTCAAACAAGTGCTAGCAAGGGTGTGGAGACAAGGGGACTCTAGTACACTGCTGGTGGGAATGCAGACTGGTGCAGCCACTATGAAAAACAGTATGGTGTTACCTCAAAAAGTTAAAAATTGATCTGCCATTTATTTGACCCAGTGATTCCACTGCTGGGAATATACCCTAAGCAGCCTGAAACACCAATCAGAAAGAATACATGTACTCCTATGTTTATAGCAGCACTATTTACAATAGCTAAGATCTGGAAACAGCCCAAGTGTCCATCAGTAGATGAGTGGATAAAAAAGCTGTGGTACATATACACAATGGAGTACTATGCAGCTGTAAGAAAGATCTCTTATCCTTTGACATGACATGGAGGGACCTGGAGAGTATTATCCTAAGCGAAACAAGCCAAGCAGAAAAAGACAAATATCACACGATCTCACTTATTTGTGGAATATAATGAACATAACAGTCTGAGGAACAGGGTAGACCCAGAGATGTGGAAGTGGGGTACAGACTGACAATCCTCAGAAGAGGGGATGGGGGAAAGGGAAAAAATAAACCACAGAACTTATATGCATGTATGCGTGAACAATGGACACAGACAACAAAGCTGGGGACAGGGTTGGGGAGATGGGGAGGAGGGTGTCAATGAGGAAAAAAGGAGAAACATCTGTAAAAATAATTTTAAAAATCATTTCTGGGTTGAACATAAACACCTATGGCTGTCACCGCCAGCTGGGGTATTTGGGTCTTGGGTATGCCTCCTGGTCCCAGAGGACTCATTTGTGTCTGCCACACAGGGATAGAACTGACTCTGCAGATTCAGAATGACGTTGGTGCCAAGGCCACCTTGAAGGAGTTCAAGGAGAAACTGGCAGGAGATGAGAAGCACCGTAGGGCCGTCCGAGCCCTCAGGGAGGAGGTGGAGAGCTTCGCATCTTGCTTCCCTCTGCCCGGCCTGCCTGGCTTCTAGAGGGGCCACCAGGCTGCACCTGCCAACACCGGAGCATCAGGACACAGCGCCCTTCTCAGGAGAGAAGCGCCACCAACACAGGACCTGGTCAGCTTCTGTGTGCTCTCTGAGGTTTCTTTGGGACTCTTCTCACCTTCTCTTCACAAATCAAAATCTGCTTAATCCCCATTGTTAGTAATTCTGGGACAAATTACTAAGGAGTTTAAAACTAAACCTTATTTTCTCACAGCTCTCTATATATTCATTCTGTAAAAATGAAATACTCTTTAGCCTTAATTCATTTAGACAGTGGGTAAGGCCGAGCTATTGTGAAAGATTCCAGTAATTTTACTTCCTCTTAGAGTTACTGGGCTTCCTCTGACTCACTGCAGCAAATAAGAAATGCTAAGTTTGTAGCTTATAAAAGCTCCCGTATTTTGTCACCCAGTGGACACCAAAGGAGAACTGAATCATGACCTTATAACCGAAGAGGGCAGTTCTCCTGCAGCTTCTGCCATGTGCTTTCCATTAGGAGTCCAGGGGTCAGACCAGTCTGGACAAGGTGCCACCAGTGTGTGCAGTCTGGACAAGGTGCCACCCTGTTAGCAGCTCAGTGTCTGGAAACAGCCTTCACCCATCACCCCTGGGCAGGTGGGCGAGCCTGGGGCACTCCTCTCCTGGTGTGAGCATCAGACAGAGGCCTTCCGGCCCTGCGGGAGAGAACCCCTCCTGTAATCAGATGCTACCTCCCCAGACAAACTGATTTTTATGAAGCTGAAGTGTAGAATCAGTGACCAGTTTTAATTTTTAATAAGCACAGTCAACTTGAACCACAGAATGTCTACAAGAATCATAGCTTTAAAAATACAACCACTTTTTATATTTCAAAAATAACTCAAATAAATTAATTTCTTAAAAAGTGCACTTCTTGTACTGTTTGGCGTTTACTCTGGTGGACTCTGGTGTAGCCACACCCACGAGCTGCTGTCTCAGGCCTCTGCCGTTCTCTGGCCCCCGCCACTGATGACCGCAGCTCACGCCGTGGTCAGATACATACCCACAAACATAACAGAGAAACATGCATAATAAAATACGTCTCAAAAAGTAACAAATAAGATTTCCTCACAGGCGGTGCTTTTCACTGCAGCCTTGAAGGCGGCATTTCTCTCGGCCAACCTGTGTAGCCAGCCAGCCAGCACCGGGCCGCGGCAGGCGACGTGCCGTGGTCCCGCCTGGAAGGCACCGACGACCCAGGGTCCAGTATGTGGATGACATGCCAGGACCGGATCTACGCCTCCCTCTGGGAGTTGCTGTGCTGCTAAGTCCTACCTTCAGGGGCTGGACTTCTCCCAGCTGAAGACAGGGATGTCTCCAAGACCCCCAGTGTAGCCTCCATGGTGGGGCTGAAGTTACTCCCGGGAAGCCAGGGCCCCACACCAGCAGCTCAGTTCACGGCCAAGTGCTCCTTCCGTCTGCTTCCCCCTTCCCTGACACCCTGACAGACAAGGCAACGTTAGGTCAGTGCTCAACAGAAAGGGCTCAGGAAAACGGTGTGCTCGAACCTATTAGCTGAGACTTTCTAGCCAGAGTAGAAACTTGATGCTTTTTCCTTTTTGTGGTCTGTTAACACCGTATCTCTTAAAGATCCCAGTTTTGTCATTATCACAGTATTGGAGTAAAGCCAGAAAACGGGCTGGTTTGATTCAAAGCATGAACCCAAACCCTTTTTTCTGAGCTCTCCAGGGAAATGGGCAGTAACACCTGATCGCTAGCTTGGGGATGCCTCCGAAGGCCATCCACACCCACCAGCTGTGTGCTGCCCCTGTGCAGAGGACACCGCAGCAGCAGGAGCTGGCCTGCCACGCACTGGGTCCAGGCAGGCGGGGCATCTGGCAGGAGGGGGTGGTCAGTGCACACACAAGATCTTCAGAGCTGCTCTTGGTCTCCAGAAGCGTCACTGAACTGCAGGCCTGGCACTTGGGGTGGAATCTAATGGCCTTGACCTAGCCAATTTGGCTCAGCAGTTAGAACTCTGGCCCACAGACCAGAGTCATGGGGTTCGATTCCGGTCAAGGGCATGTACCTCGGTTGTGGTTTGATCCCTGGTTGGGGGGTCGTACAGGAGGCAACCAATCGATGTGTCTCTCTCTCATATCCATGTTTCTTCCTCCTTTCTTTCCTCTCACTCCATCTGAAAAATCAGTGGAAAGATATCCTCAGGTGAGGATTAAAAGAATCTATTGGCCTTTGGTCTCCCTTAGACTTTGAAATGGGATTTGTTTGTTTGGGGTTGAAGTCTGTTATACTTTGAATATAGTAACTAATCTGAAATAAAGGTAAAAGCCAGATGGGAAATGACAGGTGAGCTCTCATGAGGCCCGTTTCCAAATTCTGGTGCAATGTGTAACTTCAGCCACTGCAGTCAGTTATGGAAAAGCAACAATTTCTAAAATGCAGAGATCCCCCAAAAGGAGCAAGTCCTGGGGAACAGGTGTGAGGCCGCAGCTCAGCCAGGGAGGGCTTCGCTGGCACCAGGTGCTGTCCAAGGCTGCAGCGAGTGCTCAGGTGAAGCCCCTGGAGCCCACTACTGCAGCATCCCAGCCTGGTCAAGATTTTGTCAACTTGTACTGCCTTAAAGGGAAGGGAGCCCTGGCCAGTTTGGCTCAGCAGTTGGAGCATCAGCCTGTGGACCAAAGAGTTGCGGGTTCCATTCTGGTCAAGGACTTGTACCTGGATTGCAGTTTGGTCCCTAGCCCTGGTTGGGGTCGTGCAGGAGGCACCCCGTCGGATGTGTCTCTCATATTGTGTTTCTCTCTCCCTACCTTCCTCCCCAACCCCACTCTATCTGAAAATAAGCGGAAAAATATCCTCCAGTGAGGATTTTTCAAAAATAAATGAAAATGAAGATGGGAAGAGAGGCAGGTGATTGGAAGTAAAGAAAACAAAGTTTTAGTTCCTGGGCCTCCCTCCACAGAACTGAAGAAGTAATAAGGAGCACTGATGCCCTTTCTCTTCTGGGAAGTGTTTTAAAATGTTTTATTAACACTGACCTACACTAGAGGAAACATCACATGACAATTCTTGGAGAAAAGATCAGCCCCCGTGCACAGGGCTCCCCACCACTGAGATGTGTAGATGCATCAGAGACTTCCTGCAGGTCCCAGTTCTCCAAGCCGAGGGGCTGGGAAGGGCAGCTTCGGTCTCCACTGCCTCTGCCCAAACCGCAGTCCAAGTGCCACTTTCACCCCTTTGGAAAGAAACCCAGTTGGCATCAGGCAGTCCTTTGAAACTGCCAGGCTGAAATTAGATTTTAACTCGAATTTAAATCCTGGAGTTCACCCACTAGCAGTGAAGCCAACGTGCCTTCTTCAGGAAGCAAGAGGTCTGGCGAGACGCACGTGGTCCTTCCGTGGCCAGCCCCACAGAAGCCTGTCTGTCACACCGCCTGGCCGAGGTCCACAGGGCCTTCGGAACCGTTGCAGAGACAGCACTTCGAGCACACACCCTCCATAGCAGATGTCTGTGCTGTCACTTCTGGAGGCCACATATGACCCGCCCATGTCAGTTTCCAACATGAAAACAGTGTTAACCAGAGACCATGCGGTATGAGAGGAACGGAGCGGTGGTGGTGCCAATGATCACTTTCCATCTTGTCACTGGGACCCCCAGACATTTCTCCCTTGGAGATAAAATGTCACAAGCGTGTGTCCCCGGAGGCCTCAGTAGACAGCAGTAGCCGCCCAGTCGGCAAAGCGGCCCCCTGAACACGAGGGGAGACAGCAGCAGACGGGGCTCACAGAGAGAGGTCTGCTGTGCTGCCTCCCCACAGGCACATCCCACAGCTGAGCACGCTCCTGGACAGTCCCCTGTGCGGGGACACGCGACGGGCACAGGTACAAGACACACCGGTGAGACAGCAACACCATTCACCACAAGAGACTCTCAGTCCCAGCATCAGGAGCAAAATCACATACCCACAGAGGCAGGCGCACGAATTGCCTCTTCTCCGGAGGAAATCTGTAGTGACAGGAATAGGGACTGACCAGAAACTGAGGGGGTGAGACTGAGGGGCCATATCCTTGTGCAGAGGACCTGGGCAGGGAATGGACAGTCACCAGAGGGCTCTGCCTCTCCACTGTGACTTAAGTGGTGTGCCACAAAGCTGATAGGTGCAGCAGGTCTCAGCAGCAGGATGTGGCCCCAGGCGCACACGTGTGCCCAGGAGCACTTGTCACTGGCTCAGATCTGATTTATCCGACTTTCTAGGAACAAATTAAAAAGCAGTAATACCAAGAGTTCTCCCTACTTAGGGGGAAAAACAGCTTTTAAAAAAAGGTATAAAATTTTCAAGGTTGCAAGAAACCCTCATCTACACAGCAGTGGCCATGGGGTAAGATGCTCCGGGAGACCGTGGCGGGTGAACCTAGGAGCATCTCCTGAGAAGGTGGGAGACTCAGGAGGGCAGAGCGAGCTGCAGTGAGGTGAGCAGATGAGGGACTCTGGGGACGGGGGAGCTGCCGTGCACAGCCTGCCAGAGCAGAGCCCTGGAGACAGCCACACAGGAAAGCTTCCCTTTCCCAGAGGAAACCCCTGCCTTGGGTTACCATCTGGGCTGCCCACCACCAGCCAGCTGTCCAGACTGCTGTCACAGCGCCCGGAAAGCCCGAGAGGTAGTGAAGTGGTTGCAAGGGTTTGCTTTGAGTGAGAGGACAGTGCCACTCACTCTGGCCAAAAAACCTGCCAGACCAGGCCCCAGAGCACCAACTGGTTCTTCATCGCTCACACAGTGGTGATGGCTTTGTGGCCCCTTGGCCCTGCCTGTCCCCTGGGCTCTCTACCTCCAAAGCAGTTCTCACTGACAGCTGGGAACTAGTGACTATTGTGGTTTGTCCTGCTGACTGTGGGGATATTTCCGAGGTGAGGATGAGGACAAGGTGCTGCTCACTCTCCCTGTGGCACTAGGACCTGAAGGGCGCACATTTTCCACCACACAGCTGGGGCAGAGCTTTCTCCTGCCACCTCACTCACTCAGGGGCCTCCCCTGGGATGCTGGGCTCTAGGAGGCCATTCAGCTGGGGTCTGATGAACAAGGCAACAGATGCTCCATCGTCCTGCTTTTCAACAAACCATCCACTCAACAGGCTGTTTCACTTGATTTTGCTGCTCATGTTCAGGGAGATGAACGTGGCCACTGTGTTCCTCCCTCAGGGCCTTACCTTCCTGCCCCTCATCCCACCCATCAAAGCTCCTCTTCCCTGCATACCAGTCCTTGGGAAGCCAAGCACTCCCTCCAGGTCCTGGGCCACTCCTCACCAGAGAGACGAGAGCTGTTACTGTCCTTCCAGATGCCTTGAAAGAGAGCCAGGCTTCCCCTCTGCCCGAGTCCAACTTGCAAGCTGCCACCTTGGTTTCCTTCCCATCTATGACACCAGAAGTCTCAACAGCTCAGAGGACTGCTTGATGATGCCAACCCTTCTCCTTCCCTTCCCTGTGCCCTGAATCACAGGTCTTGGTCACAATGCTGGGACTGACCTCAGATTTTGTACACAAAACTGGGGACATAGTCAAACCTGAGCATAGGCTGGCTGGTCCCGGGAGACTCCCGAATATAGTGCAGCTTCAGCAGCTCAGCCAGGTACTGGACCACCTTGACATCTTCATTCACAAGACCCAGATTCAGCTTCAGGAAGCGTGCCTGCCGGCTGGCAGCCAATTCCTCTGCCTCCTTGCTGTGGGCGGGCAGGTGCAGGTGGTGGCAGAAGGTGTAGAGGAAGGCCTTGGAGCAGAGCTGGGTGAGCATGCTCTGGACGTGCAGGTAGTAGGTGCTGCCCCGCTTGATTTGAGTACGGTGGTCTGCCAGCCGGGGCA